AAAAAAAAAAAACACAAAAAATGGGTGATTTTGGGTTAGAGGTGACACTCTTCCTCGTATGCCTGTCCCTTATCATCATCTTCTTAAACCTCTGCAATCGAAAGAGAAAAAAATACGGCAATCTCCCTCCGGGCAGCTCCGGCTGGCCTTTCCTCGGCGAGACCCTTTCCTACTTAAAGCCTTATCCAGCCCACACCATCGGCCCATTTATGGAACAACACATCTCCAGGCAAATTTTTTTTTCATATTTCACATATTCAATCAATGCATTAAAATTCATAATTTCACTAATAATGCAATGCGGCCATTGAAAATCCTCCAGGTATGGAAAGATCTACAGGTCCCACTTATTCGGGGAGCCGGCAATCGTGTCGGCCGACGCAGACCTGAACCGGTTCATCCTGCAGAACGAGGGCCGGCTGTTCGAGTGCAGCTACCCGAGGAGCATCGGGGGCATTTTGGGAAAATGGTCGATGCTCGTCCTCGTCGGCGATATGCACCGGGACATGAGGACTATTTCCCTCAATTTCCTCACCAATGCCAGCCTCAAAACCCGTCTCCTTGCCGAGGTCGAGAAGCACACGCTCCTCGTCCTCTCCTCCTGGCCGAACAACTCAGTTGTTCGCGCACAGGATGAGGCCAAAAAGGTCACACACACACACAAAAAAAATTATATATTCATTATATCTAATATAATGAATAGAAATGTATCAATTTTTATCTTTTTTTTTTTTATGTGCACAGTTCACATTCAATTTGATGGCCGAGCATATAATGAGCCTCGAGCCAGGGAAGCCGGAGACGGAGCAGCTGAAGCTCGAATACATCACTTTCATGAAAGGCGTGGTCTCGGCTCCCTTGAATTTCCCCGGGACCGCCTACTGGAAGGCCTTGCGGGTATTAGTTAATTAATTAAATTATTTTTTTTTTCTTAAAAAATTCCAATATTTATGTTTATGTTCGGTTGTGAAAAGTCTCGATCGACGATCCTTGGATTCATCGAACGGAAAATGGAGGAGAGGATGTCGAGGGAGAATAGAGGGAATGATCTGCTGGGTTGGGTGCTCAACAACTCCAATCTGTGGAAAGAGCAGATAATGGACTTGGTTTTGAGCTTGTTGTTTGCTGGACATGAAACTTCTTCAGTTGCTATAGCACTCGCCATATATTTTCTTCAAGCTTGCCCCAATGCCCTTCACCAATTGAGAGTATAAAAATTATTATTTTTTTTTTAATAAAAATTGCACAATATATAATTAATTCATTTACTATGAATTATCTATCTATATCAGTTTATTTATGTATTTTCTAATATAATTTTATTTTTTTTTTTTTACTTTTTTTT